TAGAAAAGGAGTCATCAAAGTATCCGACCTCTATCGATAATCTATGCAATCCATGCACCTAGAAAAGAAGCACTCAAAATTGGTAAAGTGCTAGTTCCACTTTTTTTAACTTGTTTAGTGTGTTTCCTTTTAAAATCTAATCGAGATAATTTTATGACAATCTTAAGAGAGAAAGTGAAAATGGCGTGTGTTAGGGTTTTTGGGGAGAAAACTATTTTCTCCTTACTTTTTGTTCAATGTTGTATGCCCTAAAAAGATTTACTTTATGCCATTTTTCACTTTTGTGTTAATCACTTGTGTTGATGTACCTCTCCTCCTATTTATAGGGGAGAGTTTTCCTTGTTCTCCAAGGACAAGGATGGGAGGCAACTAGTCCTAAAAAGAACTCTTGATTGTTGCTTCCTAATCCTCCAAGTATTAGGAGTTATAATACATGTGAGCTTTTTAATCTTATCCTTTAAAGCATTCATTCTTATCCAATAAGGTTCATGTTTATCCTCCTATCAAAATATCTTTCGGGTTTTTAATTAAACCTATTAGCCCAAAATATTTTAGCTCAATTAATTAACTTGGATTGTCCAAATAAATTAGGTTAGATAATTTTAAAAGGCCCACATTAGAAAACAATTTTCTAAATTACCCCTAAACCTAAATTAGGAAACCAATTTCCTTTTAGGTTATTTACTTTCAAATTTGAAACTAACTTTCAAATTAGAAAACCGATTTCTAAAATAGAAAACTTTCAAAATTGAAAATTTTTTCCAATATCTTTGCTTCTCTTTTATTATGTGAATTCTTAAACTTATGCGTGTGACTCAATAGACTCCTAAATATGTTGGCAATGTATCAAGAATAAAAAAACATCTTTTTTTATCTCTTGATACATAAATTAAGATTGACATCTAGCAAGACATAATAACTACCTAATTCTCTAGGAGGATTAATTAATCCGTAATTACCATTCATAAGCATGATTATCATACAATTCAATTCCAATTCAATGCTCAATTAGTTTCTTCTAATCAATGCTCCTAGCTCTGTTTACTCTTGTTACGTCAATAAATATTTTTCTAGAAATGCGATCTTCTTTTAAAAATATAATGAATTTACATATCACAATCTAATATGGTGATTTTATTTTTTCTTATTAGGTATATGTTTTTTAAATAATTTTAATTTATTATTGCTATGCCTTATTTTTTTTAATAAAAATATATTCGTACCATCTTTTACACCCAAAACTAATTTTTTTAATCGAGTTAAAATAAAATATTCACGTCAATGTTCGAGTATTCATAACAATTTAATGAATAATCTAACCTAAAATTTGAAATCTAACTGCGAAAGAGGTGCAACTTTTAAATTATCAGACCAATCACCTAATATTAGAAAAAAATGGATATTTATAAAATAAAAAATTATACAAAAAGATCCGTTTATCATAAAATAGATACTTAAAAAACCAAAAAAAAAAATAAAAACTTTTACGTAAGGAAAAGAAAAGAGAGAAAAAAAAATTGAGAGGCCATAGATGATGTTTCAAGAAATAAAAATAAATCACAAGAAAATCATTTTGTAAGGGGAAAAAAACAAGAAGAAGTAAAAGTCATGTCAAAACAAAAAGACGCAAACGCTTTAAACTTAAAAAAAAAAAAAAAAAGGGCTCGTTCAGTTGAGCCCATTTGCGTTAAAAAAATAATAAAAATATTGAGCCCTTCATGTGATACAGCCACACCGCTAACCATAACCAAGCTGAAAATATTTTTCTTTTATTTCATTATTTATGTTTTCACCACTATATATATATATATATATATATATATATATATATATATATATATATATATATATAATTGATTTTTTTTTAAGCATTTGCTCTTGATAATTAAAACAAGGATGGTTGTATTTGTAGGCCCAGTGCTTGGTATTTTCGACAAAAACTAAATGGACTACAGAATAAACTACTGTACGAGATCACTTGATCTGCTTCAAGTAATTGCTGCAGTGCTGGATCATCCAAAATCAGAACAATTAATTTTATGAAATACGGTAATTTTTCCATGTTTTAAACACTAAAAAAACTTCCTTTCTAACAATTCCTGCTTTATTGCTTGATGGACATTAATGAAAAAGAAGTTTCTCCAAACAAAGCCCGCCAAAATTAGTACTGTATTTGTATATTTTGGGCAGATTAGAGAAGTAAAAGCACAACCTCAGCTTAACTAACAATATTCTACTTGATTCAGGTGGCAATCCTGGCTATATTTTAGACCGAGATACACTAGCATAGTACTCTCGCATTGCCGTAAGTAAATCTATTATTTACTATATTTTAATATTTTAAATAATTTTAAAATATAGGTAAAAAAATAAAAATTAAAATACTAATTGTAAAAATTTGTTTGATTTAATATGTATTATGCAAAATTTAATAATATATGTGTATGTGTTTTATAATTGAGTTTAAATATATTCTCATAATATTTTTTTATTTTGATAAAGAAAAAATGCAATTAATTATTTATTCTTTTAAAGAAAAATAAATTAGAAGAAGTCTGCTTAATCAATTTATATTAGAAAAATGTCTAATTTTAGTTAATGAGCTTTTTTAAAAAATGAAAAGAAAAAATCCATTAATTATGAAAAAAAATTATTTTGAGTAAATAATAAATAATAATAAATCATAAAAAAAAAAGAAAAAAAAAGCTAGGTCGGGCTTACACCAAACCCTTCGTATGAGCTTGGAGAAAACCAGGCCTATCTAGCCCAACCCAACCAAAAAAATACACAAAGCTTTTTGTAACAATAATTATAGTTAAAGACAGTTTTGTATAAAATAACAGACTTGAAGTATCAAAGTATAAAAAATTAAAAAAAAAATCACTTATTGTTTTGAAAAAAACTACATCATTTCAAGACAAAACAAGTCCAAAATGACATCGTTTTGATTTTACTATAGTGAGACTTAACTACAATGAAAACCTATTTCTTTTTAGTTTGTGTGTGTATTACAAACATTACTAGATACATCATTAAACTTATTTTGGATGGAAACTAAGGATAACAATGGGTCGAGTACAAAATGAACACTCAATTTAATCGATTGAATAAATATTCATTAAAAATATCCAATAGGTATTAAAGTGGATAAAGATAAAAAAATACCGAGTTAATATTATTTCGGATTATGATTACTCACTCTTTACCTTATTAATACTTACTAATTTGTTTTAATTTTTTTACATACATGGATCTAATTGCATAAATTTTAAAAATTAAGAACCAAAAATATTGTTTTTCAAAAACTTTGAGGACCAAATTTTTTTTATAAAGAAATGACCAAAATGTAAAAAAATAAATAATAATAATAATAAATAAATAAATTTTCAGTATAAAAAAATTTATTGAAAATTAGGACTTAAATAAAATATTTTTGACAAATTATTTTTAGTGGGTACTAAATGAGTACTAAATGAACAAGTAAACTACTAGACAAGGTATGAGGCTAAAGATTTTTATGATGATTTTATGACATTTTTTTTTATGAATATGATAAAAAATTAAATTAATAAATCAAATATTGTTTCATTCCCATTGGTAGTGGAAACAAAGGAAGCGTGCATGGTATAAAAATTAACTTTTTATTCGTATCAACTCTATATTGTATGTGAATGTTATTAGGGATGACTATTTATCCCGTCCCGTCCTGCCTCGTCCCATTTGAGATGGGGATGGTAGTTAAAATTTTGCTTCAAACAGAGCACGAGACAGGGATTGTGTAAATTTTTATGAGGCAAGACGGGGACGGGGATGGTTATCCCCACCCCCATCCCATCATTTTGCCTTTAAAAAATAACAATTTGACGAGGTTATGCCTTACTCCATTCCATTTGGGGTAAGAATAGTAGAGAAAATTTTGTTTTGAACGGAGTACGAAGCGAGGATAAGGTAAATTTTTTTGAGGCGAGACGGGACGGAGATGGCTATCCCCATCCCCTCCCATTGCCATCCTTAAATATTATACGTAACATATGCATAAGGTACATGGAGATAGGAAAATAATATAATAAGAAGATAAATTTTACTTTAAGTACGTGGGGTATATGGTTAGGATACACGAGTAATATGTTCAAGATACTTCTTTTAAATTTGTTACTTATAAAAAAATGGATCAAATATGAATTAAGCTATATGAATTAAAATACTTAAACATTTTACTAAATAAAAATTTTAATTCAGTTTTCAATTAATTAATTGTTTTGTTCGCTGCAATCATAAATGATCATATTCTTATATGAAAAATATTTTAAAGAAAAGTAACAATATTATAATGTTTTTATGTAATGTTCATTATAAAAAATACGATACCTTGTTTCTAGATTAACAGATTATATATTTTTATCATAAATAACAAATTAGGAGTGAGATATATAGCAATAATTAAATTTGAAACAGGAAAAATTTCATTGATTCTTTCATAGTCATCGCTATAATTATTGACATAATTGATTTTTAAATATCCAGATTTATTTAAGTGTGAGAAAATACAAAAAAACATGATGTCTATCCTTTATATATATTAAAAATTAACATATGATCCCTCATGTCCTGGATTTTAAATTTTTAAGAATTATCATCGATCGTATCCATATCCCTTATTTGAATCCGTGCTTTATAAGCGACAGTTAGATGGTTGCTCTCTGCACTATCTCAAGTTTTAATTGAAAAAAATAAAAAAACCTTTCAAGAAACTCGATACCATGACCTATAAGAAACTCAAAAGAAAATTAATTCGTAAATATGGTAATGGTTGAAACTTAAAATATATAAGAAATATTGGCCAAAATACTTTCTTACAAGATGTGCACAAGATTTCTAGATCATTACACAAACATGAAATTGATTATGCGTACATGATAATTCTCTTATTTGAGTATATCAATAAGTTTCGTTGCTACTAGCTAGACTTGAAGCTCAAGTTTTTAACGTCAGCAAATGGGCTAGCTGCTGCTGTTCTTGGCACCAGACCAGTATTCTTTTACTAGCTGCCCAAATAGGGACCCTTCCTTGCTCATCAGCTTCAATGGCTCATCATACTCTACCAACTTACCTGTCAATTAATGCATTTGCACGCCATGCTGTTAGCTTAAGTTAGATGGCAAAGTATTGTCCTTGGCATTCATGATGGTTTAGGATACGTAACTCACCATCACTAATGGCAAGAACCATAGTGCAGTCCATCACTGTTGGTATTCTGTGAGCCACAGTTATGACGGTGCACTCTGCAAATTCTGTTCTTATAGTTTTCTGGAGAATGGAGTCCGTTGCATTGTCAATTGATGCAGTGGCTTCATCAAGCACCAGTATTCTGCTTCTCTTTAATAATGCACGTCCTAAACAAAACAGCTGGCGTTGTCCCATGCTCCAGTTTGATCCATCTTGTGCAACTGCAATATTCATGGATGGTAGTGACAAGTATTTAACTGAATGGAAAATTGGCGATTGTTCGTACTAAACTACTCACCTAAAGAATCCAGGCCCTCTTCTTTCTCTTGAATCGCTACCCGAAGATGGCATTTTTCAAGAACCTTCCACGCATTCATGCGAATAAATTGGTTATATGAACTACAGGTTCGGGATGTTTATGTGATGGATTTATATAAAACACATTTAAGGAACCCATCATGCTAGTGTGTGAATTGACATTTGACATCCATTTTGCTGTTTAACGATGGCATAACACAAAAACAGTACCCAGCTATATGGCAGAAACTGTAAAAGAACTTGATTCCATCATTCAATGACGTTAAGAAGAAACTTTTACCTCCCATATTTCTTGATCTGTATGCTTTGATAAGGGGTCCAAATTGTATCTGACAGATCCGACAAAAAGTGTTGGATCTTGTGGGATGACTGCAAAACGGGATCTTAGATCATGGAGCCCGATGGTGGAGATGTCGAGGCCATCTATAACTATTTTTCCACCAGCAGGCTCCACTAAACGAAACAAGGCACTGATGAAAGTTGTCTTTCCACTTCCTGTCCGGCCAACTATCCCAACTTTGTGCCTTCCTTCAATTGTGCAAGTTATCCCCTGAAGAACTAGTGGAGCATTTGGCCGATATCTAACCTGCTTGATGTCATTTGGTGTAAGTAATCATAGATATTGGTTCTTGAACTGAGCTTGAATGTGCTTCAGATATTTACCTTCAAATTGAATATTTCCACCTTACCAACAGCAGGCCAGTTGGGGTTAGGTCGGTTGGTCTCTATTACTTCTGGAGCTTCACTAGGAATATGCATGTATTGTTCCAGTCTTTCTACTGAAATGATTGAATTAGATACTGCGCATTGGAATTGGGCAGAGAAGACGAGGAATACGTTTAATGAAAGGCCATATGACAGTTCCATTCCAATAAACCCTGTCATCACGTTAACGATATCCAAAATTTTTGTTAGTAGACAACAATGCCATAAAAATCTGTGTTTCTGAGCATCAGTTACATTTTAAAGCTTGCACAACAGAATATATTGTTTAGATTCCTGACGGAGCTTGAGAGATCGTGGGGCAAGTATATAACCACAAATGACAGCAACCTGGAAGTACAAAAAGACTACAATAATTTCTTTGTACGAGGAGTAACTGGAATATTGAAATTTATAACTACTAACCAGATGCAGAAGCTGTAGGATGAAGCAAAATCATGGCAAGAGTTGACGATGAGAGAACAATTGCACATAGTAGTTCCAGCCTTTGAATCAGCCACTCATCTGCAGTAAAACTATGAAAGTATGGACTTGCATTTCGGTCGATGAGATCTAGATTCTTGGAAAAGAATCGATCTTCTTCCCCAAAAGCTCTGATTGTCATGGCTCCTGCAATTGATTCAGCAAGATGGCTTGCAACCGAGGACTTGCTAGTGCCATTTATTCGCATCAACTCTTTTGCAGAAGCAAAATAATACCTCTATTTGTTGAATCAAAGACAAAAGAGGATTTAAAATTGTTCCTTCTAAAAGTGCAATTCTAAGAAAATATTACAAGAAAAAAGATATAGTTTCATTTTCGGTATATTTACCACCTACAAAGCAGCATAAGAACTGCTTCCAAGAATGTGCATCCATTTCCTTGTTAACATAAGGAACCATGTCGCTAATGTTAACACAACTATTTGAATATAAACCTCTTAATCAGCCTCATAAATAAAAGCATCGGCAATTTACTAACTAGTCAAGAGTATCAAAATTTGATATTCTAGGAGGGCCATTTCAAGTGTCAAGCTTCCAAAGAAATGGTTGCAAGTTTGAGATTCTAGAGCAGACATTTCCTGCAAAAAACTGTCAAGGAAGGGACTTTTCAGGCTTCCCTTATCAGGATCCCACTTTGATGAGAATATAACTGGTTAATGACCTTTTATTATCAGAAGCTAAGGTAAGAGAATGCAGTTGCTTAGTGAAATTGGCATGCTATCCAGATATTTTCTTCAAAGGGACATACAGTAAAGATAATGTGGCTACATTTAATCCCTCTTACGAGAAAACTAACAAAAACGGTGGCAAAGCTGAACACAAATAAAACTAGCCAGGTGTAGTTCTTCTTAAATACCTGCAACAGAATACTCAGATAAATCATTGGAATCATGACAAATAGGACTGGCCAGGTAAGAAAAGCCAACACTGCAAAGTTGAAGTATGTATTCATGGTTGTTCCTATTGCAATGGTCAATTTGAAAGCCACTTCAAGGTCAATCGTACTCAAATCAGACGATACCTACAAATATAAACACCTATCTCAGTTTTGAGAAGCTTATAAGTCCATGTAAAAAAGGTTAATAATTTTGAAGATCTTACACGACTCAGTATTCTACCCACAGGGGTTGAGTCATAAAAGGACATTGGTGCTTGGAAAAGAGAAGTCAGAAGTGTAGAGAAAATAGATTCGGAAGCCCCACAACCTAAGTGAACTACAAAGAATGATCGAAGCAGTAAAAACACTGCCAAGCTACAACCGATCACCGAGTAAACCGTGAACAAGGTTGCTCTGGTTACATGAGAATTCTGGATGTTAGCAGCTAACCAATAGCTTTGTATCCCTTGACCAACGATGAATATGATGTGGACTATAATTGCCAAAGAGAAATACAGGAAGCCCTTGTTCTGACTCAAGTACTGTATGTAAGGCTTAAAACCAGTGTCTCCTGTTTCTCTCTCTTCTTGCTTAATCAGTTGATCCCCTAAAGGCGTTCTCAACTTTTTTATAGCATGAACTTTCTGAATTTCTTCCGTTTTGGAAGTTTCAGCGCTCTTGCTTGAAGCATATTCAACTTTTGTACCAGAACCAGATGTGCCCTTGTGCGCATTGACAAGGTCTTGGAAATTTTGACTGGAAACCATCAACTGATTGTAAGTATCAGATCTAATGATTTCTCCAGCTGACATCAACTGTCAAGAAGTTAAATAAAATGATAGTTTACAGCTCATATTAACAAAAAGGAATGATACTAAAATAGTTATAAAGGATGGATATTGGAAGCAGAATTAGAGGCATCTAACCAAAATAGAATTGAAAGCTGGAAGGAAGTCGATTTGGTGGGTCACAAGTAAGACTGTCTTCTCAGACAAAGCTTCAATCACATATTCCTGCAACGAGCCACACCAGCTTTAACTAAAATATTCAGAACTTAACATTTCAGATTGCATAGAGATGAAAGTAACATACATTGAATAGGCTTGTTGCCGTATGTGCGTCAACAGCACTGAATGGATCATCCAATAGATATATATCTGCATCCTGATACAGTGCACGTGCTAGTTGAATCCGTTGTTTCTGTCCTCCGCTCAGATTGACACCTCTTTCTCCAATCTCAGTGAGGTCACCAAATGGAAACATCTCAAGGTCCTTCACTAGAGAACACCTCTCAAGAACCTCTTGATATCTTACAGGATCCATTTCGGCCCCAAACAGAATATTTTCCTGTATCGTCCCCGTTTGAATCCAGGCACTCTGAGAAACATATGCTATCTTTCCATAAACATGGATCTGGAAAATATATAGACAGAAGCTTTTAGTAAAATAAAACTTGAAAAGGATCAGTAGAAATGTAGTATACATTAGACTTAGCAGTACCACTTACTGTTCCGGTAATTTTTGGAACTTCTCCGAGAACTGCTGCTAAAAGTGTTGATTTTCCTGAACCAACCTCTCCGCATATTGCAACCTTTTCAAATGGTTTAACCGCCACATTTATGTTCCTTAATGTAGCCTTTGATGAGGAATCAATGCCCCACGAAATTTCAGAGGTTCTGATTAAAATAGACTGACCAAGCTCTTTGCCATTAAGCTTCTGCCTTGTAGTACTGTTCTGCAATTCTGGTGCTTCAAGAAACTTCACAATCCTATCTAGCGAGACCTTTGCTTCAATGAAGACTCCTGCAACATCAGGAATCAACCTAATTGGTTCCTGAACAATGCGCAAACTTGCCAGAAATGTGAATACACTACTAGCAGAAACTGGAATTCCAAGAAGGTAGCATGCCCAGAAAGTAATGGCTGGCACAACGACAGGAGATGACCAAAACAAAACCACATGGTACCCTTTTTGCAGTAGAACTCCTGCTACCCACTGGAATTCTTCTTTCCTTAATTCACCTACAACATTCTTGAAATGTGTTTCCCAGGCATACAACTTCAAGATTTTCATATTTGCAAGTGCCTCTGTAATGGCCTTCAGTCTCCTATCTTGTGCCACCATGAGCTTTGTAATATACTTATGCTGTAATTTGATAAATGGGTAACTTGAAAGCACAATCAGTATTAGGGCCACTAGAGCTGCCAGAGTTGCCAACCCAACGGAATAGTAAACAATAGTCAAGGCAAGAAACAACTGAATGCTTGTTGCCCATATTTGATGAAACCAAAATGGGAACTCACCAATTCGATAAGCATCTACAGTCACATAGCTCACTATTTCACCAGAAGAATGAGCTACCTTCGCAGCATTTGACAGCCGTAGTTGCTTTTGATAGATAGCTGCAGATAACATGGATCTCACTTGGATCCCAATTAGTCTGGTTCGAAAGCGCCAATGCCTCTCTGAGAGAGACTCGAGGACTTTTGCTAAAAACAACCCCGCTGCTAGCACATAACCCTCATATTCGAATGCTGCTTTGCCTTCCGCAACATCAATGAAAGCTTTTAAAAACAATGGGCCAGTGGCCAAGGAGAGCACCTTGATCAATGCAAAAAACCCAGAAATTAAAATTTCTTTCCAGTGCGAGGAAATGATTGCTGAAAGCATAGAAAGGGAATCGGCCAATCCCTTTTGTTTTCGTCTTCTCAGCCGCTCCATATGCATCAAGTAGCAAGTCTTTGCTCGATCTGCCAGTCTTAACTGTGGAATATCTCCATCCTCAATGACTTTCCCCTTACCTTTCTTCATTAATGGACCCAGCCACCAAAATGACATCTGACTGAAAAATCCGGCTTTGGCGAAAGGAGTGACCTTGTCGTTTGAACTGATTTCACCCGTGGCAATGGCTTCCTCATCTGGCAAAGGTTCATAGGAAGCATCATTGCTTATGTCTAAACCAGTGCTTACATAATTTTGTCGCTTGAAACCACAGTAGAGGAAAAGAATTGCCCCCGGAAAGGACGAAAAATCCAAAACCATCAGAGCTGACAAATTTTTGTCTGCAACTGCTCCCCAGATTGATGATATGCAGAGAAATCCAGAAAACAAAAAAGTGAGAATCAAACAGAACTTCACTGCTGCGGTTTGAGGAAGCTGAACTTTCTTCCAGCTTATTAATTGATTTAATAGCAACCAAATGAACCCTTGGAGTAGCATTACAAGCCATCCATGAAGTGGTAAAATGGTATGATATCTACCAAGTTTCTCAGCAATCATCCACATTCCCCAGCCCAAGTAAACCAAACCCAAAAAGCCATTCAAAATAGTTGAAACATATATGGCTGGAGAGGAACATTGGGGCTGCGATGGTGCAGCAATCTTTCTCGAGACTAATTTAGAAACGAAGATAGATAAGACGATCAACAAAAGCAGAATGTCAACAGAAATGATCAAGATATGATTCCTGCATGAATATGGACTGATTAAGCTGGAAATGCATTTATTCGCAGCGTTGCATGAATTTTCAGAATCATCACAGAAGACAGTCCAGAGACCATCCTTCATATTGTTTCTCCTTAACTTGTTAAATCTGAAAATTTCAAGGAAAAACAGGCCACTGATTCAAGCTGTGGTACTTCTAACGTTGTTAACTTATATGTCTATATCTATATATTCTTGTTATCTGGAATTTGACAGAATTTTTACTATAGAAACATGAATTCAAGCACGAAAAGGCTACTGATTTAAGCTATGCGTGTGTGTGTTTTGTATATATATATATATATATGTCAGATCTCTTTGTCTGGTTTCATAATGGCATTCAGAAAAAATTCTTAACAATATCCATCAAAGAAACCAGCTCGAACAAATTTTAGGTTCAAGAAATCCAGTCTGACTCTTATCTCAAGAAATCTTGGATGTTGGTTCTTCCTTTCCTGTCGATTAATTTATCATGCAAGTCACAGCATACTCTAATATATCCTTGTTATCAGGAATTTGACAGAATTTTCACAGTTGAAGCATGAATTCAAGGACAAAAGGCTACTGATTCAAGCTTTGGATATATGGATAAAAAGAAAATAATATAGAAGAATCAAATAAAATAGTATATTTCAGTGCAGAGTTAAGTATCCTGCTTATCAATATCCATGAAAGAAACCAGTTCAAACATATTTTAGTTTCAAGAAATCCGGAGTCTCACCCTTACCTCAAGAAATCTTGGTTGTTGATTCTTGCTCCCCGTTTGATTAAGCAAATGACACCAAATTCTTTATGCAAGAAAAAAAAAGTGCTTGTGCATTGTTCAAACTAGGGCCTATCACATAGAACCTATCATTCTGTATCTTCATTCTTGAACTTCCCCAAGTCAAAACATAAAACCAGTATGATACACTCACTGATTGTTGTCGAAATGCAAACTTATTCCAATAATTTTAAACTACAGATTAATAAATAAATAATAGACTAATAAAATTTTATATATTAAGTTCTGCCTTAACGTTTACTGTCACTAAAAGCTGGCATCAAACCTAGTGCTGCTATATCAAGCATGAACACCACTGGCTGCTAAGAATTTATTGTAGTTCTGCCATAATTATTACACAACCAAAGACATTGACTTCTAAAAAAGAGGAAAAAGAGCTTGGGCCATTTTTCATGACAACAAAAGGCTTGAGCCCTTCATTCTTTATAGGGACGAACACCAACGACAGTAACCGAAAAGTCAACATTTTTTTTTATTTTTTATGATTTTTATTTTTTTTCCCAATAACACTTGTTATTAAACAATAATGATTGTGGGCCATACAAAATTTAGCGTGTGATCAAACGGTTTTCTGAGCAACAAGTCATCATTTGATATGCCCAAGGAAAATGTAGTTTGTGTTGGTCAGCTCGCAGAGGCATCTTTCTGTGCAATCTGGTCCCCGACACATTTTAATAATTGTAATAATTTCTATTCCATTTTTATTACACGTAACTGTAACACTAATTTCTTGCAGGTCCATAATTTAACGGAGGTGGTTGACATTAAGGGCGATTTAGACCACCCCACAACGACACATTTGTTTGTTTTCAGGACATTAATGAAAAGATGTTTGCAGCACAAACATGGTTTTTCTCTGGAAAATGAAGCTCCTTCAAACTTTGCTAAAAGCTGATAAAATATTAGGGTAGAAGACACAGTCTCACTAATAATAAAGGAGACCGCTAAGTATTTTTATCCTATATTATATGTATATTGAAAAAATAAATAGACACAATCTCACTTACTATATTCTTGTCGGATGTCTGTGCGGGTTGTAAATCCATTATATATATATATATATATATATATGATAAAATTGGCTAAATACATTTTTAAGATTTGATTAAAGTGTTAAGTATATTAAAATTTGGATTTCAAATTCAAAAGGGGCCCCAGCTTGACGAGGAAAATGTCATCACGCTATAAAAGTTTGCTTCCATTGAAATAGCACTAAATATTGACAGAATATATACTTATTAAAAAGATGTGCATAACATATCATAAATCATTAAAAAGGAAACTCGTCCTTTCACGGTCACAAGCTGAATTAATCATGCTCCCACCACCACCCCGCAACACACACACAACAACAAAAAAAAAAAAAAAAAAAGGTTAAAAAAGCATGTATAGTATAATATAATGGGTCAGGACCAGGAAATATTTCCGTGGGGTAAGATATCTCCACCAGTTCTTGATGTAAGTGCTGACCTCACTGTTCGTCAAGAAAATGAGTAAAAAATGGTTTTTTTAATGATTTTTTTATTACGGACTATAAGCAAGAGAAATTTTAGAATATTCATAAATTAATTAATAATATTTATCCTATAAATTTATTTTGATAAGACGGACAAAAAAAAAACATATAAATACTCATTAAAAGTGATAAAGCATATTTTCAGACTCAAATTAATATTTTTAATTATTTTTCTTTTTTTATAAGTATTTTTCTTTTATATAGAAAGTATAGCTAATTATTCAACGATTAACATAAATTCCATTTTGGAATTTGGAAATGGGCCGATTGCCTATTGTCGGTCAAATTGTGTCCTACATGGGAGGATTTGCTCCACCAACTTTTTCAATTCACTTCCTTCCTTAATCCAAAAGGAAAAAGGAAAATGTCTAAAAATCTATATCTTTCCTGAGCTAGGTGTAAAAGAAAAAAAGAAAAAACTATTTTCTACCTTGGCTCCGTTACACTTCAATATTCGATTTCAAATTTAGGCATTTTAATAACTTGGAAGTGGATTCTATATAACACGTTACTTTTCCGTGAATGAAATTGATAAAAATAAGTATTTTAGTTTTCTTTTTCTTTTTCTTTTTCTTTTTCCCTATTCAAGTTCTAATCCTATTATTTCTCATCAAATTTATCTTATTTTACCTCCAAAGTCAAATATATGCTTATAATTTTTTTTTTCCGATCATATACAATATTTTCTTAAGGTGAAATATTATCTTTCATGAAGATTTATGGATTTTAATTAAATTAGTACTGTTTGACTTTGATTCAAGGAAAAATTATAAACATGTTTGGTTAGAAATAACTTTCTACTTAAATAAAAATTTTGTTACAAAATTAAGTCAAAATTTTAATTTAATAAAAGATATTTTAACTTTTAATTTATAAATTCTTAATTATACTAAATTCTTTATAAAAAAATTTTGATTTGAATCTTTTTTTATCACATACACTTCTAATTTAAAGTCATTTCAATTTATTTTTCATAAATTATTTCTAAAAATAATAACTTCTGCATAATGATTTAAAGTAAAAAATAACTTTTCGTAATTCATATCAAACATAACATTAGTCTATTCCTAGTTTTCATGAATAATCTTCAAAAAATTTTGTTTGTATTGTGCGTATGTTCACGTAATTACATTGTGAAAGTCTATAAAATGAATTGTCATGCATAAGGAGTGTTTGTTAGACTACTGTTAAGAGCATAACACTCAATATTCAAAATGAAAGAATTAGGAAGTAATTGAAAAAATATCCAGTTCAAGGAATTACATTAACAAGTTTTTTTTTTTTAAATATATTCACAAATAATGGGGCATATGCAAATCTATTTAGAGCACCACAACTTAGGAATAATTGAGTTATAACAAGAAAGGGTTGATCTAGTATTTAAAAAGTTATGCTTTCTTTTAATTTTCCCTATTTTCTTGATTCGAATATTAAGACTAGTACTTAAGGGAATAAATTCTCCTAATGCACTAAATCCATGTAAAATATATATATTTAAAATGGTTTAGGAAAAAATAGTTATGGTTGACTCGCAAAATGATCAGAAAATATTTTTACAAAAACAATAATTCTATTATGGTCGTAGAAATAATTGAATTTAATCATCCCAATTCTCAATTGATGAAGATGGATGTCTTGTAATAGAAAATGTTTTCCATTTTCCAACTCCAAATCTTAATTGCATTTCTAGTGTTTATTTTTCAATGAAAAATGAAAAAAAAAAAAAACATGTTTAATTTTTTTAAGTTTCAAAACATTTCTATATATATTGAAAATTGAAAAAACATATTCATTTACTCGAACATAAAAATGGACAAATGAAGTAGGTGTTCAAAATACACTTGTTTTTCAATATATTCATTTACATTTTTATTTTTATGTGAACAAATTTTTATTTTACAGATCGCCAAAGGGTATTGTCTATGCATTTATATACTAACAATTATTATGAGGTGATTCGTATTTCTTCGCATCATATCCAACAACAAATATTGGTGAAAGTAGTACCATGATTCGACTCAGTAAAAGTTTGGCGGTATTTTTAATCTGTAAACAATAGATTAAAGAAAATGAATTTTTAACGGAACAGTAGATTAAGGTTTGAGCGGAAGGTGCTTTATGTAAAGGTTAAAGATGAATTCCAGCTACATCAGAGTACATGTCAAATAGCAGATGTTGAGTTAAAAGATGCATGCTTTATGTATAAATCTGAAACTAGAGTTAAGTGTTGACAATCTTGTCAAAGAAAAAGGAACTTTATTGGAAATGAAAAAAGGTTTCTTCATTTTGCTTTTGGGAAAAAGGTGTATATATATATATATACATATAAACACAGTTTCTTTTTAAACATATTTTTCTACGAAATAATCAATAATATAAACGGTACACTACACACATCTTATTCAACAAAGCATTCAAGAGAACATGCAGGCTTTTAAAACTTCTAGACACTTTATAAAATCCTGATGGATCTTCAAAACAAATTGAACATCATAAACTCCATACTTGCACGTTGAGGCTTCAGTAATACTTTCAGTAGTCATCAACACTTGAGGTACGAGACCAATATTCCTTTACAAGCTGCCCAAATAGTTATCCTTCTTTATTAATTAGCTTCACTGGCTCACCATACTGTACTAACTTCCCTGATAATATTAAAGCATCCTTCTAGTGTTCTTAGGTTAAAAAAACCTTGTTACATGTAATATGGAAATGCTGCTCTCCGTAAAACAAAGTGGGCTCTCGCCGACTCCAAGTCCTGGCATGACCTAGCGCGGCCAGTTT